CCAACCATAGAATTGAAGATACATCAACAACATCCGGGGATGTCAAGATGAATACATTCTACTAGATACCTCAGACACCTAATATATTCCCATTCTTCCTTACGAAAAGAATCCTTAAGATACAGTTACAAAAATGAGAAATTCAATTCAATACCAATTATCGTTATCAAAATAGATATGCGTTTCGTTTATCCAAGTCACGCCAGTAATTAAAAACACGTCTGTCTATACATCGCCCAGGTCGACTTACCCATCCATTTCTCGTGGGGCTCTGTAAACGTTCTTCTATATCGTCGATTTGACATTTGATACTCTGCAAATACTGCTATTCAGGTTTACAGTGGACTTTTATTTGTCATATCAGACTGCATGTCTACTTTTGACATTTGAAACATTTGAAACACAGTAGTTCTTCTAATTTGCCAACAAAATCGATGCAGCAAGAATAAAAACGGCTTGGGGAATTTGATTACTTCTTGATCCCGATCTCGCTATGTCGCTTGAAACACAGTCTGGCTGTACATGGGTAACATGTTCTGTGGGGGTATGGGGAACGGCAGGTTGCAATTCACGTGGACCGATTGTGAACATAGCAAACATTGCAATAGATGATAAAAACATTCGAGTAACACGACGTGTTTTTCGAAAAGTTCAAGGACCAAAAATATTTTAGGGGACAGAAAACAGAAAATATGTTGACGTACGCAAACTGGACCTGTTTATGTTATAGAAAACAAAACATGCGAACGTTAAACTTTGGGGAATATTTTGCACACAGAACACGCACTGAGTGAACTCAGTAAGCGAAAAATGACACATTGGTGAAATGAGTTAAGTACTACCAAAGCTTTGTCTGTGATAAATCAACCCAACCTCGAACGTTTTCCTGAACCAAACCGTGGCCTTTGGCTTCCGCTTCCTTCCTATTAATCTCACTGTGACATGGTATCGCGGCAGTGTTGACAAATGTACTGAATGTAACATAACGGATTTGTCTGCCTTCCTCCCTGTGTTTTACTTGCAAGTAATGCCACGTATTTGACTAAGTCTCCTCGACAATCAAATTACCCTCGTGTGACTTATACGTTATTTCCGAGTAATTCAATTCCCCTAGTGACCGTTGTAAGGCTTACTGACTTACATTGCCAGAGGGAGATATGTTTTGGTCTTGGGAGAGGGATGTTGAGCGGATTGATACATGCGAGACTAAAGGGGGGATTGACGGCGTAACACAGATACGAGAGGGAAGGGAGGCTACACAGTGTAGTGTATATTCGAGAGCAAGAGAGGTTATGCAGCGTAGAGATACATGCGAAAAAGGGGCTTTATAGGGCCCAGCCTCCTCTAAATATTGGAGGAAAAGGATGATAGTCTCCGATGTTTACCACTTTATTACATAATCGAGGCGAACCGGGACTCGAAACCACATAGGTTTTCGGCGTGCTCAAGGGACCCAACTCCACACAGCGAATTGCATTTGCCTCGTATTTCTGAATACATAACAGACATATTATACTATTGGCTAAAGAAGACCATTACGCGAGTCTTACACGAGGAACTACACATCCACAATATTATCCGGTACCAACCATGATTCACAAGGTATGTTTGTTTGTTGTAGGCGAGGTGGACGCAACCTGTGTTTACCATGGAGGGCTCCCTGTCCTGCAGATAAAGCGTTTTTGCACAAGTACCCATTCTTGAGGTGTTGCGGAGGCATGTCATGTGTGTGCACTATCTGGGGCAACAACTGCAAGTGTGAAAACAAGCTCGGAAAATGAGTGCAGCGTCGTCTTGCAGCGTATGCTGGCTCCCAAGGGGAGCGAACTCTAACCACTGTTGTCAGAGCAGAGCGTGTCGGGACTTAGGCCTGTTGTGTTGACGTTGATAGAGGGACTTTGGCAGAGCGGGGGTAGGTTCACTGCGGCTACTGTAGGGCTATTAAAAGTTTGTTCGTATTTTATGAGTTTGTTTCTCTGTTACATGATTGGTACACTGACTCATACATACTCGTGTGCATATTGAGTCCACACAGCGGTTATGTTGACTTCCAAAAGGTACACACTTGGCGGGTTGCACTGCTTCGTATTACTCGCCCGTGGAAGATACTGCAGTGTAGTATTTTACGGCTAATACCTCTGTCACAATGGTATTTGACCTTGCTTGAAAGCTGACAGTCATCACATTGTAGGCAGTTTCTATAATTTTATGTTGGAGAGTAATAAACAGAATGCTAAACTCGCTTCCGTGAAGTACCATTTTTATTAAGCTCATGAAAGATTTAGTATCACACTCGCTTTCGCTTGTTTGATACCAAATCATTAACTCGTTTAATAGAAATTGGTATTACACGGAAGGTCGTTTAGTATCCTCTATGTATTTGCTCTCGCGTACGTTATGGGTGCGAACACATCATGGAACTGTCGCAATCGTTGACCCATGAATCAAAACGCGGCCTGGTTTCAGCGAGTGCTCATTTCAAAAGTTAATGTATCAGTTCTAATTCTACAAATATACACAGACCAGAAGAGCCAAATATACTCAGTATAATCGCACAAATCTAGTCAGACCAGAAGAACTCACTTCTAATCGCACCAATATACTCAGACCAAAACGAACTCATGACATCATTGTCGAGTGATTGATATTATGAGCATAGGTGGGGTGGGGTATTTTCAGCTAATTCACCAAGGAGACCTCCTCCCTAGCCACTTAATCGCCACCAAAGGCAATGTTTCTATTCTAGCCCGGAAACACGAGGACGTATGACTGTATACAGCAGCAGGTGCCACAGCCTGTGCCATGTTTTGTTAACGTTTCTTGTTTAGCTCTCCACTCGACAATATCAAATCAATTTACCGATGGTCTGTAAACAATCTGGACAAGACAATCCAGTGTTTGAATTCTTCAGCATCGGTCGGTACGACGACTTGCATCGACCACGTCAGCGAGCCTGATCACGTGATCCAGTTAGTCATCACTAACGACAAGCACGGAATACTGGAAAACAGGGCCTCCTTTCACAAAGCACTAAGGTGATCGTAAGTCACTACTGACTGACTGAGTTTTGGTTTTACGCCACTTTTAGCAATATTCCAGCAACATCACGGCGGGGGACACCAGAAATGGGCTTCACACATTGTGCCCAAGTGGGGATTCAAACCCGGGTCTTCGGCGTGACGAGCCAACGCTTTAACCATAAGGCTACCCCACCGCCCCTCGTAAGTCACTAAGGTAGCCTTAGTTCAATGTTAAAGAATGGGAGTTAACCTTAGGAAAGGTTGCTTCGTGAAAGGAGACCCTGCTCTAACCAGGATCCCCCGAGGGGGGTTTATATAACACGGTATCAAATTACATTTTTTTCAATTAGACGTCAGCTCTTAGCAAGATTGTCGATGTGACACATCTAGTGTTACCAACAGATTTTGTGCTCATTAACGAGGACATTCTGTTTGATAAGCGACACACAGATTTCTGTGTGACCCGATAAACGTCAGTATATAGGCAGCTTATTAAATGGATCTGTTCTCAACGTTACCAAACTTCTACTTCGCGTTTGCTCGTTAGCTACGAAACTGAACGGGTAGCCGAACACCAAGTATGAATATACAATGCCATTTAGAAAGTGATCAGATGTAACATATGTTATATTTGGGATTACACCTTCCTAGTAAAGAACAGATTCTAGTACTTTTGTTTGGTTAAGTCTCATCTGGATTCGATAAAGTATGTTACATTTGACCATTTTCCAAATGACATTGTGTATTAACAGTTTTCGGCCGTGGGAGCCATGACAATTTACACTTATCAGAGGCGTACAAAGTCCGCAGTCTAGACTACCAGTTGTCCGAGTCAGGTGGAAGCCACGGTGGCTGAGCGGTCTAGGCGTCTGACTTTGTGTGCTGGCGATTAGGTGCCTGAATCTGAGGGTGTGGGTTCGAATCCCGGATGGGACTCAACCCATCAAAAGTACAAGAATCTGTACTTTACAAAGAAAGTGTAATCCCAAATATAACATATGTTGAACAGCAAGTATTTTCCCATGTGATACGCAGATGCCTGAAATTTGATTCCTAGACGAGCTGACTCAAACATCTCAGAGATACCCTGCCACTGAATAACATATGAGACAATTTCAGGTGATGTGCAATGAGAAAGTTGTGAGATTCGATTACCCATGATTGCACCAGTGAGCCCCACGCTCACCAGAGTTCATCAAAGTAGGAACTCTTAAAAAGTCACGATTCCTTCAAAGAAGCCATCTCTTTTATCGTGCAGATTGACTTCCGGGAGCATTGTGAATACTTTAGAGTTAAACGAAGCTAACACAATTCAATCAGATGACAACAGTAGATTTCTTCAGCATGGACGACCCGGAGTTAGCACAATCTGTAATGAACACTGCCATCTTGAACAATTTAAAGTATTCTTTATATACTCACAAACTCTAAAACCGACACATTGTCTGCAATATAATACTTTTATTGCTAATATCTTTGGTTGTCAAGACAACACAAGGCATAAAACATTCACCGACGATACTATACAAACTAAAGGCGGATTTGATCAAATCCGACAGATTGAGACATAAGGCGATGGCAATTATCTGTTTTTTATTTGTATTTGAATTCCTTCAGTAAGATTATGCAGGCGACTGGGGATAACTGAGTAAAAGTTTAGTTTCACTTCATTGAGAACATTGTTTTATTTTACCACGGCGTGTATAGCTGGATGTGGTATGTTTGTTTGGTGTAACGAGTTTGGTGTGACAAGTTGGGTTTAACGAGTTTGGCGTAGTGCAGTGTATGATTGAGTGAATGTAGTTTTACGCCGCTTTTAGCAAAATTCCAGCACAATCACGGCGGGGGACACCAGGAATGGACTTCACACATTGTGCACATATGGAGAATCGAACCAGAGTTGTCGGCGTGATGAACGAACGCTTTAACCACTAGGCTACCCCACCGCCCCGAGTTTGGTGTAACGAGTTTGGTGTCACGCCGCTTTGAGTAGTGTATTGGTTGTATCACTGCGTGTAAGCTTGTGAGGGGGATGCAGGATTTCGACGTTTGACACACTATAGTAAAGCACACAAGCACCAATTGGTACAAGCATCTACTACACGCACGTTGAGGCTGCGGGTAGCTGGACACACCCTGCAAGGTTTCTGGCGGGTTTTTGGAGGCTTATTACAGTATGGTTGAAAGCTGACGTAGATTACAAATTGATAAGTGAGCAATATATATGACGTCACATATTTATCACTCTACGTCATCAGGGCACACTTGCACATAGCGAGCTTCGCGCTGCGACTATCTGAGTTAGTGAGTGAGTCAGTCAGTCAGTCAGTATGGTTTTACGCTGATTTCAGCAATATTCCAGCAATATCACAGCGGGGGACACCACAAATGGGCTTCACACACTGAACCCATGTGGGGACTAAGCCTACATTAGAGTACGGGAATATGGGAGGCATGGTCATCGAAGCGCTAAGATCGCTTTGGGCCAACCGGTCAAGAACACTATATGCATTTCAACAAAACAGTTTCATATGGTTGACATTTCAGGTTTATTTCTCTATGAAGAGAGGTAATGTTCTGAGTAATCCCCTAAAGAATGCCTGTCCTCTATGACTGAGAGTTGGTCTGCCTGGTGCGTTCTACCCAACCTAAACATAACAGGAAAAATCAACATTTTCAAACACTATTAGACATTTATGCCCAAACTGCTTGCAGAAAACAGAAACAACCTTGAGAAATCTCTACAAAGGCACAATCAGTGTATTGAAATTGAAAATTGAAATGAAAATTTAATTAATATTGATGATACATGGAGTTCGCGAAAAGGTGAGCGTAAATAAACGTGGAGTCATCCAAGTAATAGATACAAGTACATACGCCTGGCAGTAGAAACGACAGCATGGGGCTAAACTAAAGAAGTACTAAAATCTGCACTTTACGGAAATTGTAATCCTACAAAATATTTTCATTCGTATGAAGCATCTTTTCGACCTGAAATCAATGAATATACAATGTACACTGGTCATCGCCATGGGAGACATACCTTCAGTACCTACAAACATTTGACATCAGGCGATCGTTGCATTGAAATGTATGCTTTGGTACTACTAATCAAATGTTTATGAGGCATACATTATACATTGGACTGCTCTATAAATTCATGGACTGGGGCCCGTCACTCCCACCTTTAGTCTATAGGCCATAGGTGACGATCACAAGTCTGACGATAGCTTTACTGTGAACGTCTGGAGGCGGATCGATGAATATTTGAAATGTTTCATTATACATTGAGTTCCACATTAGTGTAAAGACGATTCACTGGATATGGGGTTACCACCTCCGAGTGACATTTTATAAATGTCAAACCATATATCTGAAGATGTACACGGTGTAGTTCAACTCATCATTATATCTGATACTTACAACACCAAGCATTGAAGATGAACCCAAACATATTCCAACGCGACGGTATACGAACTTACACACAACTACACGCAGTAGGTCGACCCAGCCTTTGTGGTGCGGTGGGATGGCCTAGTGGTTAAAGCGTTCGCGCGTCACGCCGATGTCCGGGTTTGATTCCCCACATAGTGTGAAGCCCATTTGTGATGTCCCCAGCAGAGGTATTGCTGGAATATCGCAGGATGGAACACACTTTGCCTCGTTCGGAAAAGACAATAACTCCATGGCCGACGGTGGGGAACGTATGGCTGGACCAAGAACCAGAACCATGGGACCCAGTATGCTGAAACCGCGCTAAGTTAAAAACTCATGGATTACTATTTGCCTTGGTGACAGCATCGAGACTCTTCGCAATTCCAATCTCGAACTCTGATAACCAGAATGTATTATGAATTGTTTGCCGATTTACAAATACGGCCTTTTGGTACATGACGATAGCGTTCTGGTGATCATTTCTGGAGAGTGCACATAAATATGCAGCTTCTTTATTGACGTCTATATTCTCCCACGTTCTTGATTAGCATGGAGAGTTTTCTTATATATAGGTGACCGTGAGCTGTTACTGATCTCTTAGGAGCTAACATCACAACTGGTCTTAAGAATTATCTGCTTCTTCGTGCGGATTAGGGTTAAGATTAGGGTAAGGGTTGAGGTGAGATGAGCTTAAAGTCGAGATTAAGATTATTGCACGCCCTGTGCATGTTCGTGTGTGTGTGTGCGTGCGTGCGTGCGTGCGTGCGTATGCGGTTGTGTGCTAGCCGGAAACAATGGCGTTTATAGCGTATAGTTAGTGCCGCCTTTTAACATTCTGAGGCAAAGTATTCTGAATCCGAGTCGATTGGTTCTTGTATATAATTGGTATTGTTTAACGTAATTTCGTATAAAAAGTGAATGGAACCACCTACCTTACTCTCCCGGTAGACAACTGAGGTTATCGAAGTACTGTACTCTATTACCAGGCTGGACGATACATTAGATGAAGCCCTCACAATAGAGGGTTATAGACGCGTGTAACAGACCTTTCATCAAAACTGTTCACTGATAGTAAAGACACAAAGAATAAGTGAGTGAGTTTAGTTTTACGCCGCACTCAGCAATATTCCAGCTATATGGCGGCCGTTTGTACATATCCGAGTCTGGACCAGACAATCCAGTGATCAAGAGCATGACCATCGATCTAAGCAATTGGGATACTATGACATGTGACCACCCGATCCCGTTAGTCGGCTCTTACGACAAGCATGGGTTACTGAAAATCAATTCTAACCTGGATCCTCACGGGTTAAACACATAAAGAACACGTAAAGAATTCTGCTATCGGTGTCATGGAGGCTTTACTGGTACAAGCAATAGTTTCAACACAAGAAATACATATGAATGAAATCGAAGTATTTTGTGCTGTGTGTTTTGAAACTATTTTCTTTACTGTCCGCGCTACAAGAAACCTGTAGGTGTATTGGCCGAAACACCTACAGCCTTTACAGAACCCTGTAGGTGTATTGGCCGAATCACCTACAGCCTTTAGAGAACCCTGTAGGTGTATTGGCCGAAACACCTACAGCCTTTAGAGAACCCTGTAGGTGTATTGGCCGAAACACCTACAGCCTTTACAGAAACCTGTAGGTGTATTATATCCTACAGGTTTACCTCGAATGTAATGTGCTGATGTTTTGGGGGTTTTCTGGCGGAAGTGAACGGCATTTTCCTCAGACCACATAACACAAGCACAATATATGGGTATTTTGTAGTGAAACAGGGTGTAACATCAATGTTGCACAGCCCGTCCCATAAACTGACGTACAAAAGAAAGTATACACCTGGTGCTTTTGGATTAATATCCAAAAAGCGACGTAAATGTTTTGAAAAGAGTTTTTACAGTGATATATAAGTCACAGACCTTCCTAATATGTTGCCAAAACACCAAAGATATCGTGCCCAATTGCGAAGTTGCCAGTCAAAATCACAACATTTTCAAATAATCCCCAAACACCAGGTGTGTACTTTCTTTTGTACGTCAGTTTAGTTCCAAACCCATCCGAGTCTTTCGCCTACAATAAGCGTTGTGTTTATTTTCTGTTTGTTTGCTGTTTAACGCTGCATTCAACAATATCCCAGCCCCATTACGTCGGTCTGTAATCTTGATCCAGTGAACAACAGCATGAACATTAATCTACGCACTTGGGATGCCATGACATGTGTCTGGCAAGCATGGGTTGCTTAAGGTCAGTCCTAACCCGGATCTTTACGGGTAGATCGGTACAAAATACAGACTAAAGTACATAAAGTATAACATTGCATAATCCTCACTCACTATTTATCGGTAGACAGTGGGGGCTTTTCATCCGTGTATTCACACGTGTGCTGAGAGCGCAAACTCAACTGTCCATTGAAACATTTGCACGTAGTGCTTACGTGATCTTGAAACCTGTATATAACTGGTTGTTGAGCCATATTAAAGTCTTCACCGTCCATCACACAGCAGAGTGCATCTTGCCTCGTGGACAGCTGCCCGGAACGTGAATAATAAGTGCGTTGTGTACATGTCTTGAGCCAATGTACTTGATCAGGGCCCATTCGAAACATTTGTTTGACTCTTCGTGAGCATTTCATACTTAAAAGAATTTGCCCACACATTCTTGCTAATTTTGCATGTTCGTCTGTTTGCCGCGAATGTGGAATGTGAGGGTCTTTACGTATGGTTTCAAATGAATTATGAAGATCTAACTTAACCCATAATGTCTAATTTAGATTCGAAACAAAATGTTTTTCAATGTCAACTCAAACGAAGTTGGGTATCAGGTAGATATATTCACACTTTCCTCGGTCGATATGCCTTCTCCTCCAACACGCCTCTTTAAGTGTGGATCTGTGATCTATAGCATGAGCATCGATCTACGCAACTTGGATACGATGACATGTGTCAACCAAGTCAGATTGCCTGACCACCCGATCCCGTTAGTCGCCTCTTACGACAATCATGTTTCTCTGGGGCAGTACACAATCACCTTTACCAAACACCCGGTGTCTTCACTGATCGATCGCAATTCACAACACCTGCTTATGACGTAGCAGGAATTTTTCCATGACGATATTGTCTTTTGTTTGTACTTTGACATCCACGTCAAGATTCTATTAATGTTTACCTCCCACGTGTATCTAATTCAGGCAGCACGTACGGTTCAGTAACAGTCAGTTAACATTTACAGGTATCGTTGTCACTCGGCTTCCCTCAGCTGATTTAGTTTTGTAATGTATACTATTCTAGATAAAAATGTATATTTAGTTTAGTAATGGCATTGTCATGACACTAACTTCATGTTGTCAAGTGATAATAGGACGTGATAGGATGATTCCTTACTAATTACTCATATACACAAAGGTAATTACAGAAATCAAACTTAAATATTGTTAAACGAAGCAGAACTTAATGGTATTGAACTTTAAGATACCTAAATGACCACCAGTAACACTCTTCTTAGAGACAATGCCGTTAAATAAAGATATACCTGATGCCTGACCTTACTCTTGGTCATTGTTTCGTGGGCATTTATATAACCTAGTAACGTTTTGATAACCTTTTGACTTTTGGTAAATCCGATATTAAGTGCATACTTTCTTTGCCCAACAAAGAGTTTTCAATAGGAACATTTACACAAAGAAATGATGAGGCAAAACCTCCTACATCAAATGTGTTTGACTATTCAACAGTGGAGAAAAAGATAGTCGTATTATGGCCTCATTATACGAAATCACAGATAGTGAAACAATTCAGAGACAAATATTCAAACTTCATAGAAATGATCGAACTGTCGCCAATGCCAAAATGTCAGGAATAGTTATAAAAATCATTCACTATACAAGTGAATCAAGCATGCAATAATAGTTCCAATGGCAAACCCAAAGGACTAACAGAATTTATAAAAAGAAAAGAAAAAGAAATATTATCCACAAAATATATATTGTTACCAGGTGGCTTAAGCACATGTTCAGGCTCATAATATTAAAAAGTATCTTGTTCTGCAGCTGAAACTGAAAGAGTTTCTAGTTTCACATACCACCGCCAATGATACTCCTTAGTGCGTAAACTGGAAATCTACCTTTAAACTGTTATTGTGAAAGAGGCTGTTAAACCGGAGAAGGAACGTCAATACAAGTAATACACAGATATGAAGAAGGGAGATTAGACGGTAATACTTGTAAAACCTTTACTTAAGACATATGAAACCGTATGCAGATCACCCAGAAGCCATCTGTATATAACCCTAGTATTTGTCCAATAAACGATTAATTGATCACATATATAAATGGGAGCTAGTATTATGGTCATACGTTGTGATAGCCCCTACTGGAAATATGTTTAAATACCATTTACGTGGCATTTACGACAAGATGGTATTTACCTCATTGAATTTCAATACTATTGGTCGATAAAGGTATTAATATCTTTATTGACATGCCGCATTGAAATATTAAACAATATATGTCCTTAGTTATCTCAGACGTATATGTAAATTAAATACACAAGAACCGGTATCAAATGCAACGACGTCATAAAGACATAAACATGAATATATTAATCCATACAAACATGTTTGTTTGTATGTTTGCATGTTTGTACGTTTGTATGCTTGAATGTTTGTTTGTACGTATGGTTGTTTGTATGGTTGGTTGTTTGTACGGTTGGTTGATTATAATGTGTGGTTGATTGTATGGTTGGTTACTGTTTGGTTTGGTTTGGTTGGTTGTATGGATGGTTGGTTATCCTTGGTTGTATGGTTGCGTGGTTGTATGGCTGGTTGCATGGTTCTTTGGTTGGATGCATGGTTATATGATTGGTTGTATGGTTGGTTGGTTGCATGATTGGTTAGTTGGTGGGGGTTGTATCCCATAACCCCTACATGCCACTACCCCTACAGCCCAGTACCCCTACAATTAGTTAAAACAACACACGGCATTTACCTGTCTGGCATAATGAACTGACCCAAAGAGAGATTAGTGCATAGAGTATACAGATGAGATCAAGGGAGGCATTAAACTGTTCTTTAGTGTTTTGTGTCAAGGAAATTTGGGATTAGCTAAAAGTTGTTTTAGTTTCATGATGAAAGATAAACCTCTAGTGAGTAGAACAATTTTACAAATTGGATAATATGTAGGTTGTTAAATGTTGAAATTAAGTTGTTTTAGTGCCATGATAAAAGATACACAGTATTATTGAGAAGTGGAGGGAAATGAGAAGGTGAGACGAGAAAGTAAACTGAGATTGTTCGGTATAGTATATAGCTGTTTACAACAAACTAACTAACATGGATTTCACAAATAGACTTTGGTGCTGCGACAAGAAGCAGAAAGCGAGTCTTCAGGGAGATTGACAATCGCCTGTGTAGACTCAAGGAGCAGCTTTGACAGAAATCACCTCTTCAGTTCTTGGACGCCGTCGGCTATCTGCTTAAGCTGGGATAGATTGAAACACTGAATGTTCATAGACTGAAACACTTGACACAAATGACTATGTTAACATTGAATGTTAACAATTAATTGTTAATGTCCATCAAAGAATCATGATGACGAATTATGGTTAATTCTTATTAAAATCTTGATGATGACAAATGATGATCACTTTTCATTAAAATCATTCTCTCAACCTTTTAGTTGTGTGTTGTTATGTCTCTTAAGTGGATTAGTCCATTGTGTGGAATAGGTCTGACTGACTGAGTTTTGGTTTTACGCCGCTTTTAGCAATATTCCAGCAACATCACGGCGGGGGACACCAGAAATGGGTAATAGGTAACAGGCAGTGGATTAACAGTGCAACAGACCGTAAACTATGTTGTTATAAGCTGTAGGGGTGGTGGCATGTAGGGGTAATGGGGGATTACCTTGGTGGGTTGTGTTGTGTTGGTTGGTTGGTTGGTTGGCATGTTCGTTGGTTAGCGCTGCACTCAGCAATATTCAAACTATATGACGCTACTCTGAGTCTGGAGCAGACAATCCAGTGCTTGACGTCATGAGCAGCTACTGCCCAAATGAGACATCATGACATGCCTAAACTACGCCCGATCTCGTTATTCACAATCACGGGTTGCTGTAGACCAATTTTAACCAGTATCTTCATGGTAAAGTTGTTTGGTCAGGCATACATGTCACACTGATGGTATGTGTTGCTTTAAGGGTACATGGATATACATATAATATGAACATCTTGGTATGCCGAGAATAAGGTCTATTAATTTAGTTATCAATATAAGAATAAGTAAATATGTTGTGAGGCGGAATAAAAAAACACTGTGGATTTGATTAAATTCATTATACACACATGGCCTGAAGAAACACTTCAGAAGTGACGAGGGAATGCGATTATGTTGAAGAGTTTGTTAATCTAAGTTAAATTAATAACATGTGGACAAAATATAACCAAACATGGATACTGTAAATATTTGTCCATCTGATCACATTTTATGAGGGAAAAAGATATATACGTTGCTTCCAGACAGAGTAAAGATATGACAATTCTCTCTTCCAAATGCCGTGTAAAGTATTAGAGAACATCAGGGCTCATTACACCCATAAAAAAATAATCTAATTAGATTTGAAACATGACTCTCCAGAACAAGAACTAAATTTACAACAAAACTTAACTTGCGGCTTGCCATATACACTAAATTAGAGCTTAGTGATAAAAAGTATAATTTTAAAATTAAATTCCTGGTTTTCATTCCAGAATTCCGAAAAGTCTCATTTAATTAATGTTTTGAGCAAATTCACATTGTGAGCAGTGTTTCCGATGAAAATGACATGTTATCCTATAGCGGAAGAAACACCCGAAATAGTGCAGCTTGTAGGCACGTAAGTATTCTTAGGCTGAATTACGAGCACTTGGTGACGACAGACTTTGGATCAACATCATTGAGAATCATAGATTTAACCTACAACTAGCAGATCCTGGTAGTGATACGGGAAGCAACTCCTAATAGATAAGTGCTGCGTTTTAGATCACTAATTTCGATGTGGATGAAACCAGTACGTACATTGCGGTTTGTCAGTTGTGTTCTGGCCAATGGGAGCATCTTCTTTTGGGTAGATAAGAGTTAAACCAAGTGTTCATCTGAAGACTTTTAAGCAACGATCTGTTTCTCACATTGTGACATTTCGTGATCTGGAAGTCTGCATCTGTTTCTTGTTTCACAGACAAGACCAAGTCAGACCTCCGCCAGAATTTCTTTCCGCCACATCTTTGATTGAGTTTGTACTCGAAGAAGTCCACCTGACACTGACACGTGTCTTTTGTATGCAACACCTAACCTTATACTGTCAGATTGCTGTAGAAGTTCACCACAAAGAAAGTGCTCACAGATAAATGCAGATTTCTTCCTCGGGTGACAGCTGAAGGAGGTATTTTTGTTCTGTATAACTTCTGGGGATCCCGAAGTACAGCGAAAGAAGTTGGTTAATGTATTCACGAAGTTGTTTGTTATTACTTGTTTATAACACCGTTCTCGGCAACGTTCCCACTATCTGACAACTGTAGCGAATCAGTTATTATTAGCAGCAATCTACGTCATCAAGTCACAGAGTTTGACCACCTGATCCACTTAGACGCCCCGGGCTACTGACAAAGTATTGTACTAATTGTTCCTGACCGGGGTTAGAATTGGTCTTCAGCAACCCATGCTTGTCGTAAGAGGCGGCTAACGGGAGCGGGTGGTCAGGTTCGCTGACTTGGCTGACCCATGTCATCGTGTCCTAATTACGTAGATGGGTGTTCATGCTGTTGATCACTGGATTGTCTGGTTTACACTCGAATATTTACAGACCGCAGCCATATAACTGGAACATTGCTGATTGCGTTAAACAACGAACCAATCAACCAACCAGATGACGTGATTCATATCGGCGAATGAACGCCATATCGCCCAGTCATCAGCACTTGTACATGCCACTACAACTTCAAGAACGTTCACATCGGTCGGGTAGCTTTGCGGTTAATGTGTTCGTCATGCCGTTCGATTCCTAACGATTCCTGGATTGTCTGGTCCACACTGGAATATTTACAGACCGCAGCCGTATAGCTGGAATATTGTTGAGTTCGGCGCAAAACTGAGCCAGAAACAAAATCGGGATTCGAGTCCATCATCACTCACGCCTCATCATCACACACGCCGAGTATGCCCAAGGGACGCAACTCTGCACAGCGAAAGATGGAAAATCAGACGACTCTGCCAGACGTAACAGTTGGGATGGGTTTTGACGCGTATATGGAATATGTCCACAACTCAGTCACGTCGAGACGGGTTAGTGATAGGGTCAGGGTGACATGTTCGTAGAGTAAGTGTTATGGCTACAGCTTTGTCGCTGAATGGATTCCACCACTCTGTACGGGTTTGTAACAGTATCAGGGTATATACCACAGCTTAGACGGATTAAGGACAAGGCACTCTACCTTAGCCACAATACTAGCTACAGTCTAGACGGGATCAAGGGATATATACAACAGCCTACAAGAGTCAAGGAACGGACGATCTCGGGACGGCAGTCAGAGAGGCCAGAGCGGGTTTTGCCACCAGACACAGATTTGGCTGAAGGCTCTATTGGAAAATGTATGACATCGTCTGGAGGGTTATTGTAGCTATGTATGTCAAAGTCCACACAGGTACTGTTCAAGTACCTGTGTCTGCTAGGCGTGTACATTGAGGAAACTGCATGCCACAGGCGAGAGGGGTATGTTGAGGACTGTATGCCACAGGCAAGAGGGGTGCGTTGAGAACTGTGTGAAACAGGCTTGGCAGGGTACGTTGTGGACTGTATACCACAGGATTGGCTGGGTACGCTGAGGACTGTATACCACAGGATTGGCAGGGTACGTTGAGGACTGTATACCACAGGATTGGCAGGGTACGTTGAGGACTGTATACCACAGGATTGGCAGGGTACGTTGAGGACTATATACCACAGGCTTGGCAGGGTACGTTGAGGACTGTATACCACAGGATTGGCAGGGGACGTTGAGGACTGTATGCCACAGGCTAGGGGTATGTTGAGGACTGTATACCCCAGGCTAGAGAGGTATATCGAGGACTGTATGCCACAGACTAGGGGGTATGTTGAGGACTGTATACCACAGGTTAGAGGGGTATATCGAGGACTGTATGCCACAGGTTAGGGGGTATGCTGAGGGGTATATTGTGGACTGTATACCACAGGCTAGAGGGGTATATTGAGGACAGTATGTCACTAGCTAGAGGATTATGTTGAGGACTGTATACCACAGGCTAAGCGGTGTGTGTTAGGGAATGTATGACGGCTGTTTACATAGCTGTTGCAAATTTTGCCCATTGAACTGTACGTTTGTGATATTTACTGAACAACTTCTTTGGGGGAATTTACTATGATCGTGTGAGGTCTTTCTGCCATCAGGAGGTCTTACGTTTGAAACATAAGACCTTGTCATTGCAAAGGTATCTCTTTTAGAAATTGACAGGATTTGATGTTTAACACTTTCAACAATTTTCCATTTACTGCATCACAAGTTTGGTCATGTGATTGCAGTGAAATCGGCGAGCTACGACTGGTACCGGCGAACAGTTGAATAGTGCACCTTTCTTTACCGCAGATCTCTACGACGGAGAAGATGTCGAACCAACGTCTAACTACTTTGCTACATCCCGTCCCCTTTACTGAGTGAAACCTAATTCGTTGATCTTCTTGGGAATGAATAAAACACCACATTTATTCAGTTGACATATCAGAGGAAATTCAGTACAATGCAGAGGTTTGTGTTTAGTCCCGATGGTATCACAGATTCCATGTGTGATCTGGCTGATGGCAAGGTGCTAGGTTTGGGATCATCGATCTGTTTGTCCTATTCACACACAATAGATCTGATACACAGGCCTTTTGATCTGCAGAAGCTTATACATCCTCACTGCTGCGATGTCCTTATTAAACATGAAAGCAATATATACACAAAGAACTTAGTTAAGCACCCCCTGACATATCTCACAATTGTATGAGCCCCGATCTTAACCCTTTCTGCACAGGGACATGATTGGTCGTCTTGTGCAACAAAGGGATTCTCCTGTACAGAACCATGCCCAATTGGAAGCTGCTTTACATGAGAAATGGCGTAGACTGTCCCTTCAGAGGATCAGGAGGCTGACAGGGGGTATGAGGAGGAGAGTGCTGGCTGTCATACAGTCACATGGTGGTTACACTTGGTATTGACATTGAATCGTGTAAGGCACGCAAAATGACATTTTGAATGTTCACATTCACCAATGAATTCAACATTAAACATTCCAGGGCCATACTTGTACAGATATGGTTTTGTATGAAAATCAGTGTTTTTAAAATGAGCAATCATCATCATATAATCAACATAAATTCCAATCATTTTGTCATTTTGTATGAGTCAAAGGATCATATGGGTCATAAAAACTTATGTTTTTCCATCGTGGTCCCCACGAGAAGCTTTATGTACGTGTTGAAAACCTATCATTGCAAAAATACAGGGGGTGCTTAATTAATTTCTTTGTGTAATATTATCGCATGCAGTAATTTTCCATTATTACCAGAAGGACTTCGAAGAAGAAAATACGCCAGTCATTGGGTCACAGTCCGTTATTTCCCACTGCTCCGTGACAAGTCCAGAGCTATTATTATTGCTTGAAAAGTAGATTTACGTTTAGGTTCTTGCTTGTTTGTTCACAAATCCACCCCAGCTCGAAACATTCCCAAACAACCCGTATGTCATGTACCCGGATGTGTACCTTTCAGCGGATGTGACCCTTAAAGTATGGGCCTTCTATCAACCTTCGAAAACCAACTGCCCGGCAGAGACGTTTCACTGTCCGTTTTAAGGTGTAGTGACTCTGGCACTCGTGAAATCTACGGATCTCCCTGCACTTCCTTAAGTGGTGTAGAGTAAAGCATCCCCATCCTGTCCAACACTCTTGCTGAAATGAAATAGGTAACCTCGGATTTAATGAGGATAGGAATTATTCGTATGCTAGTTGAGTCACGATTTCAGTGTTTGCTACTGGAGTTATCCTAACAATGTATTACCGAAGTTCTATAAGAATAGCATGGCCCCGATCCACATAACGTTCGTAGCCTATGATAAACTATAGAGTTACGACAGGTCGTAACGTTACGAACGCTTTGTGGATGGGGACCCAGGCTAGTAAATCAAGGAGACTTACGATTTTGCTTTATCTCTAGTTTTTAAGTCACCTCTGCATTGGCACACTTTACGAAAAGCGCTGTAAGATGTTTTGAGTTTCTACTTACTTCAGATTCTTGTCTTTACTGTGTTTAGAACTGTACGGCCAGACGGGTTATGTTTGGGAAGGTATGGCGTTTGTGTTGGTGATAGCATATATCAGTGCAGGCGGCTTATATCGTTAAGTCTATGCCACCACATCTAGACGGGTTATGTAGGGAAAATGTAGATCAGTGGAGATGGCCCAAGGTGAGTCATGGTATCTATAGACAGTCACGCGAGTACCAGAGTAGCTATATCAATCACGGAAACCCATGGGCGGGGGGGCCTCGGGGTAGTTACGTCTTCCACAACAACACTCACTGCCCAGCATCACAACGGAAAATCTCGTCGAAGACCTCTTTTTGAGATATGTACACATAACCCGCTTTTGATCACAGGCTAGGTGTCGATATTGTGCAGGGGTAAAAATGGCAGTGCCTGGAGGTCTGGACAGACTCGACAAGCGTGGAGTGCCTGAAATAGACGAGCACGGTAAGTTTACACTGACAGGGCTACAAGAACATTGCGTCGATAAAAAGACTTAGGTTTTGTTTTCAACTAGAAACTTACATCTAGTGTTACTGACCCAACTTTAATTTCACCTCCTGGCACATGAGCCTTTTTATACTTTTTTCGGAACATGATGGCTGTCCAATTAAAGCATTTCTTTATTTTCAATGCAACAGTTTTGTGGAAAATCTTCAACGGCGACCATACTGCATCGTCACAGTCGTGTTACTGTCAAGCAGGTCACATGTTTTCCATGTTAAAACTTCCCACAGATTACAATGTTACAGCGGTAATAGCCATGCGCATGACGCAATTGTTGTGATGTGATAATGTTAATGACGTCATCACTTTATGTTATGACGTATGGTTGATCATTACGTTTTCTGTTCAAAGTTTGCTCAATGCTTATGTTATATACTGTGCTCAATGTTTCAGACATGTGTAGGCCTACACAGATATAGTACATAAAAGAGGAAATCGGCTTGGAGATAGTTAATATAATATTTATTATTCAACATATTTTTTCTGTCAGTTGTTTAGATCCTGTGTTAATAAATACACGGTTGATAAGTTTTCAAACAAACATCATGGACGAAAGCCCATGACTATAACATATTCTAAGCTCGAATGAAATTGCTATCATTTAGGACAAACCTGATTTCAAATTAGTTTAGAAATGAATCTCAAGTGACAAGGTAAGTGACAAGTGACAAGTGACAAGTTTATTCTGTGATAAGGCCTCATGGCCAAAAGCACATGAAAGTACATTTCAATATCGTATGCGTGGCAGCTCAAGCTGGCAGATTCAGTTTCAAGTACATGGACAGATTTTTTATATGTTCGGGATTGTTAGACGTCAACAGCTGATACAATTTTACCCTTGTAGGACACGTGAAATAATAAGGAGAGATTAGTTGCTCTCTTACATGCTTATAATATGGACAAACTAATACAAATTTATACTCATCTTCTACAAACACTCATAGTACAATTAGAGCATAAAAGTTGGTCGGTATTAATATTATTATCGTACCTTAATTTACAAATCTTTAATTTGTGTGACTGGAATCTAAATTTACCAAATAATCGTAATAAATCTTTATGACTAAACAGTTCTACGACATATCGTTCAGTGTCTAACAAAGATTTAAAGCTAGTATAAAAGGAGAAATCACTTCTTCCCGATAGCCTACCATGCCAATCCTGGAACTGTATATCCTTACAGCGTGTCGAAAAGGTATGCATAAATATAGCATAATTGCCAAAATCCTGTGATATCCAAACATAAGAAAAGCCCATCGAAAACAATAACATACGAACCCTGTTACCCAGTTTGCTTTACCATTACTATCACACAACTTTAGCATTTCGTAACAGGCTTTAGGATAACGACCTGGTTGCATACAAAGAAGCCTACACCAATACCCTACACAGCGACTGAAATAACTTACACAAACTGGATATCTCCCAACATCGCCCAATACAACACGAGTCGGAGTCATTTTAGAAATATTCAAACAACTTTTAAAAAATAAACTTTGGACTTTCTCAATATCTCCTCTATAAGTGAAACCCCATATTTCCGAGCCATATAATATTATAGGCATTTTTTTTGGTATCAAATATTTTCTGGACTACACCAAATGGGAGTGAAGGATAAACTTTAATTAATTTATAAACTGGGAACAAAACCTTCCTAGCTTGAACAGAAAGAGTTTCACAAGCCTTAGACTAAACTAATCTTGAGGAAAATACAATACCAAGATATTTGTCGTAGGTGACTATTTTAACCTCTTTACCCGAATAAAACCACTTCTTTATGCTCTTTAAATACTCTCCATTTCGAAACACTATTATATTTGATTTATCTAAGTTAACCTCTAAACCCCACTTCAAACAATAATTGTGTTAGAAATCTAATTTTTGCTGTAACCCATAAATTGAATCGTCTACCAACACTACGTCATCAGCAAACAACAACAAGAGAATATCTTCTATTTCTTCAGTGACAAAAATACCTCTTAAACTACTATTTCCAAATTCTATAGCCAACTCGTTTATGAATAGAGTGAATAGAACAGGGCTTAACATACAGCCTTGACGAACGCCGCAAGATGTTGAAAACGATTCAGTTTTACACCTATTCATTGCTATACATGCCTTGACTTTACCATACATATCTTGCAGGAGATTATACATTTTACCAACAACACCTTATTATGTAACACATACAATAACTTCTGCCTGTCTACAAAATCAAACGCCTTTCGAAAATCCGCCAATTTTGTTTGCTTTCGCCCGACTAAATTTTTACTCGACTCGAGCTTGCGGGCGAGCGTAAAGATCCACCAGCCCAGAAACGTCGTGGTAAACAAATACAGAAGTTGGTATCCATAAAATTTGTCTTGTAAAACATGAAACAGATAGGTGATATTCCGTGTTATACGAGGGTGTGATGTACCGGGGACTCTGGATTACAAGTAGCAAGCTGTAACCATAATCTTGACGAGATTCTCAGTTCGCAGTCTGCAGTGATTCTGATTTATATGGAACAGCAATGCTAAAGAGTACCCAGTCTTGACTAACCTCAGAATCAAGATCCGTATTGATTTAAAGGGGAAAATAGTTGACAAAATTATGTGAATGGATCAGTAAACATTGGCGATGACATCAGATGTTAGCGAAAAGGGCAAGCATGTCCCGTCCCACCGATAGCTGCAGCCATTCATCAAAATTCAGCCAATATTTGGCAACAATTGGAAGCATGTTTTACCTGACGGCTGCCTGTAAAATAGAGATTTTAAGTATAGATAAACGTTTGGAACATAGGGTCTTTGAACAACATTTACAAGAGATACACATAAAGGCAAGTCTTTATGGATGTCAACTTCTATATTTTGTGGGACACGACGTGAATGAAAGACTAGGAAACACACAGCTATATATACAGTATATGTACACGTGAAACAACAACAGTGATAGCATAACTATTGAAGCCAGTAGTTAACTAGCACTAAATTGGTAGGGTGGATGGAGAAGGGGAAGCCAGGGATTGTTAATCCAGGCATGAATGATGAGGTAACAATGGTGGCTTTTAGAAAGGGAAAAGGAAAGAAATGGAAGCCAGAATTTAATCCAGGCTTAATTAGTGATAAGTACCAAGACAATGAGACCAGCAGTATGGTTAAAGTAACAAGTCCCAAGCCTTAGGCAGATATAGCATGACCAGAAATTATTGAGAATTTTAGGAATATGTTTCATTGGATTTCTAGTATAAACAACCTTGACCAGCTATCAAGTGCTTGGTTTCATTCAAGAGAGACAACTCCGTTAATCCTTCTTCATTAGTTTGTGAAGAGTTATCCCCCTTTGTTTACTTGCTAGCAGACGACATTTTCAGTGATCCTCAGTATGGATGATTTAGAGAAGTGGAAGTTGATTTTAGAGTATTATAACAAGGACATCAGATCAGCTAAAGTGATTACAAGTAGAACAGGCATCCCTTTGTCCACTGTTTTTCGTGTTTTGAAAAATATTGCAAATGGATATGGCATTGAGCACCAG